ACTACTGCAGAACACTGCAAAATATAAATATTTCCATCTTCTTCTAGTTTCTTTTTTACTTTTTAAAATAGGGAAGGGATCAGCGTGGCAAGACAGTGCAACTTTACTGACCAGCCTCTGTATTATTTTGTCCACCAGCAGCTCCCGTTTTGTTCTAGACAACAAGAGAAAGTGCTGAGGGTTCTGAATAATCATCTTCCTTAGAGTGCCCATCATATCTGTGGTAAACTTCTTAATGGTCCTCACCCTGCAAAAACAACACGCAGCACACAGGAACAAAATGAAAACCTGCTATTGCAAAAAATAATGCCTGGTCAAGTCATGAACTGGACAATGAATCACACTATTCCTGTTTAACTAATACACACTTTAGTTCCAAATGGCAAAGTAGACCTTTTACCGTTAGTAGTAACACAAACAGAGTATGAAGAAAATGATCTTGCTTGTTTTTTTTTTTGTTTTTAGCAAAGATGGCTCCTATTTCTGAGAACTATAGTTTCTCTTTTAATAAATACATCAAATACTGATTACGTATATAAGAGTTTTTCACATCTTTCCTGCCTACAAGTACATGTAGTAATTTTTAAGCGGGGGTTTAGTACTCATAATGAAATGACCATTTCCCTGCCATCCTTTAGAAATGTCCAAAAAACATTAATATTGGACTGATTAATGACAACTTCTGACTTACGGCATGGACAGGGCAATCTCAGCTCCAAAATCTTTAAGCAGTTCAGGGAAGAAATCAAATTGATACAGCGTCTCAATCACACACGTTTTCTGTCCAGAAGGTCGAAGACACATAACAAAGAAAATGGAGATCTATATTGAATGCATTATAAAATGCAAATAGACTTTCGATATTTTATAAACAGTAGAATGGCATGAACAAAATGGTTAACCTTACCAGCGAGGTGTGAAGAAGACCAGGCTGATGGTTGAGGAAGGCCAGGATTGTTCTCACTGCAGAATGTGAGTGATCAACCTGAAAATGGTCTTGTAAGGCCTTGCAGCTCACCCCCTGACCCAGTGTTCCCAGACTCCTGAATACATAAAGCAGTGTTAGTGCATACAGCTGTTACATAAAAACTAATGCTACGAACAACCAAAAGAGTAAATTAGAGCATCTGCTGCAAATAATGAGGATAAGGAATGAGTACACAGTATGTGTATACACAGTTATCACAGAAATTCATTGTACTTACAGAAAACTTTGTTTGATTAGTTTTGGCTTCAAATTAATCACCTCTCTGAAAATTGCTTTAGCCTGGGGACAAAAAATGGAAGAAATGTTATGTAGTTGTTGTAACATGCTGGTTGCTAGATGACAAACACATTTAATTAGAGGAAGCACAAAGAGATCATAAACAATCAAAACTAACTGACTAATGGGGCAAAACATTTGTTGATATTTCATTTTATTTCTATCTCAATCTGTTGTTACACATTTTTACAGGGTAGTGCACTGAACTTTGAACAAAAAAAAGAGAAAAACCTCAGGGGTCTCATGAGCTAGCAACACATTTTTAAGTGTACCAGGCAAACTATATTGATGCAATATGGGCTGCGTAATACCTGCTGTGTGTTCCAGTGTTTTGTGGATGTACTGGTGATGCTGTTCACAAGAAGATGAATCCTGGGCAGGATACTGACTAGGGGTGTACAACAGAGCAAAGGCTCCACATCACCCAACCAACTGACCACGTCTGGGAAGTCCTGGATAGAACAGAGGTAGAACACAAGGAACGATGTTGCAGGCACCCTGCACAAAGTCTTTGACTGAAAGAAATCAACCATAAAAATGGAAAGAGCATTACTCTTTTAAATGACAAGTGACAAGGTACTGTGAACTGAATAGTATTGTAATGACCCTTGAATGCTATTCAGTTCAATTCTAGATTATATTCTACCTTTCTTTTTCTTTTTCTCAACTCTAAAATAAAATTCTTCAAATCAATATAAACATCACCCCGGCCTTAGTTATACCCATAGTTTGGTGGCGATAGCATTGGCTTGTGTTGGGCTGAAGCCTGGTGTGTGTTGGGCCATGGCGGGCAGGGATGATAGAAGTATGTCAGGGGTGAGGCTCAACAAGGTCTCTGCCCTTATTCCCACAGCGAGGGAGCCAAACTCCTGCAGCTGGCCTGGAGCGGTTAGCTGGGTAGAGGGGAGGAAAATGCGAGGGTCAGGGTGCAGAAATACAGAGAGCATCTCAATATTAAATTACATTGAGATGTGTTCGCAAAATAACTCACTGTTGTAACTGAAGACAGCTTGTCTATAATTATGGAAGCCTGAAAAACATACAAAATGACAGCAATAAAATAAACAAATTTCAAATGGTAAATTTTACTGGTAACTGACTAGTGACATTAGTCTCATATATTCTGTATCTACTTGATCTAGCTCTGTATCATGGTCACACTGGGTAAAATATTCAAGTCTTAGATGCTGGCTTCACCATTACTTCACAGTTTACTATAAGATAAAATAAACTTCTCATAATAGACTCAGTCGGTCCTCTCAAGACTCCTTATGACATGTAAAAGCAAGACAGCAGCTGTGAGGCTAGGGCAAAAGTAAAAGGCTCCAGGTCAGATGACAATGAGGGTGAAGTAAAGCTCAGGCCTTTGCCTCATGAGGGGTTCGCTTCAGGGCTCAGTGTGCTGAGAACAACAGTCTGTCAGCTGTTCTTCAGGAGCTACAACCTTCACCAGCTGCCAGGAAGCCCAACCATGCACAACAAATAGAGGTTAGTGCAATGAAAGGGGCTGACTAAACTCCTGACATTTATGTTATTAAAGATCACTTGTTTAAAAAAAATGTGTACATTAACTGGCAATAGAGTTTCAGATTGTTTTTGTCACTCTTCCTATACAGCATCTTCCATTGTAGGTCTTCTACCTGTGCAGGGCTGAAGGACACAGACTTCAGGGCAGGGAGGACAGCGAGCAGCTGCGACGGTGAGAGACCCTGCAGGAAAGTTACACCTAGCGAGGGCAGGAAGGGGGCGAGCTCTGCCAGTCGATCAGGGCTAAGCAAGGAGGGGACCTGTAATTCTGTGCTGTTCAGTAACAAATTGGAAGTCTGGATAGCACAGAGACAGGGCAGACATCATAAATACTCTCCAAATGCAGTTGTTGAATGAAATCACATGAAAAAACAACACAGAAACCACATATTAAGTGTTCTGCTCCTACCAGATAGCTGGGCAGACTGAGTCCGTCATGCGTGCAGTTCATAACAATGTCCCGAATGACACGGAAGGCTTCAGTACCTTTGTATGCAAGGAGGTCGTTTGGGTCTGCCAGGCATGAGAGATTACCCAGCCTAAAATTACAAACACTGTTTAACACATACCTGGGAGCAGGTGAGAGGTTTCCTTCCAAAAGCTTTAAAAAAATTCAGTTCAATTCAATTTTATTTGTATAGTGCCAAATCACATACAAGTCATCTCAGGACACTTTACAAAGGTCTAGACCTTACTATTATCAATATTATAGAGGGCAAAAAAAAATCACTAAATGAAGTTCATTGTTCAGTCTACAGCATTAATGGGATTGAGTTTGTGTAAGATCAAGTAGCTACACTGCCCATAGCACAAATGACCATAAGTCCACAAAAACAAAAGCCATATTACTTGCACAGTAGATAAATAATGTGTTACCTTCTCAGCAGATGCTTCTGCTGCATCTCAACATTTTTCAAAAATAAAATAAAATAAAAATGTAAACTTTATTTCAGAGTGTCATTTTTGACAATTATAGGTTGCACTGTAGGTTGTGCAAAATAAGCATCTTTGTTTTGTCTTTTTGCAGTTCTTTGATCACTGAAATAACTATATATTAAGGTAAATTACCCTTTAAAAATGTATTTATTAAAATCTGGTCCTCCCCATAATGAAGAAAACCCTTCAACAATACTGCCCACAAAAACGCCATTAATTTTGAAAACAACCATAACAAAAGAAAGTCAAGAGTCTAATTTAACATGACAGATATGTAATATTGTGTACTGCAATTTCATATTCATATAAATTAATAGCAATCAGCATTGAGCTACTGCCCAGCATTTAGACAGTGAGGGGTAAATGGTTAAAAGCAGGTGTCAGTTTATTCAAATGAAAGATATGTAATTATAGAAGCAATATACAATCTGTATATATGAAAAGTTAATGTGTCTTATCAAGTTTTAACTAAGGTTACACCCACTTAGCCTGTGTCTAATAAACAGTTAACATGGACAGAAAGGTTGAAGGTGCATCCACAGAGTCATATCTAACCTGGTAAAATCCTGAGCTGTCAGGTTTCTGTAGGTGCCAATGATGCTCTGAGCTATGAATTCCTGTTTTAAAGGAGTAAGGGTGTTTCTCTGCAACACTCCTAGTCCGTCCAAGAGCTGTGGATAAACATGGTAACAAAAATAAATACATTTGCTAAATATGTGACACTAAAAACTTTTTTTTTTTAATGTGTAGACATAATTCAGTGAGTACTATATGAAGAATACATTTGCCAGGCAACTATTGCAAGAATTACTGTTGATATGCTTATTTACTTTCTTAAAAGTTAAATTTATATATTGATACCACTCTCAGGTCTGTACATTAAACATGAAGCTAGTGCCTGTAGCCAGTTAGCTTAGCTTAGCTTAGCACAAAGACTGGAAACAGGGGAACAAAGCCAGTCTGGCTCTGTTTAAGGACAAAAGATAGCAGACTGCTGGCAGTAGCACTTTATTTACAGCAGAAAGTGATATCAATCTTTTTATCAAACTCTAAAAAAGTGAAGACAAGAAAGTGATATCAATCTTCTTATCAAACTCTAAAAAAGTGAATGTGTATACCCAAAAATGTCAAACTATTCCTTTAAAATCTCCTTTTATATTAATGTGTGAGAAAGAAGTTAAGTAACCACCTATAACCACATGATCTCATCTTTACTTAGTGAACATTAGCTACAAGTGCAGTATGTAACACACACAGGTGATGACAGAGGAAGAAGAGGCTGCCTGTGCTTCCTTTTGACCAGCATGTGCCAAGTAGCTTTGTTCTGCCCTGGTGCTAATTGAAGTCTGAGTCCCAGCTTCTCTGGTTTTCCTAACAGGTGTCAGAACTCAGAGGGCTGTTACCTGAGCAGATGTGAGGTGTTGGAAGTTGTAGAAGGGCAGGTAGGCGATCAGGTTTCCGGTGTCCCTGATAAGTGACTGAGGAGCTGCGATGATGTTGGACGGCGGCAGAACTTTGCTGTACCACAAGCCAAATGCCTGCCGCTGGTCCAGAGTCAAAAGTTCCAGGTTTCTGTTAATGGTCTCCTTCCTAGAAAAACAAATTGCTTACATTTTTGTCATATTGAGGAACTGTTCCTTGGGAACACGTTTGCAATGAAAATACAATGCAATTCAACTCTCTTCAACTCTTGAAGAAACAGTGCAGCCTCTTTAAAACTCTTGAAGAAACAGTGCAGCCTCTTAATTCTGCCTATAAACTGTGTTTTAAAGTGTTTTATCTCTATGCCAGTGGATCTGTTATATATTGTAAGTAGCTCACTTTTGCCTGAATAAGGATTTGGTGAGCAATAAGTCATGAATATCAACTCTGAGAGGGTTTCACTCACACACTGATAGTAAAGACCAAAACAAAATTAGCATGTGAGTGTATCTGCACAAATGAAATACAGACTTTGTTGTTGTTCTCTTCTACATTTAATGCATCAGTTTTGCTGGATCAAATTGTAAATACCTACACAAACACTGTGCGCCCTTTCTAGGTTGAAATCTCTGTGAACATAGTTTCCTTTATGTATAATGAATGCTTCTGGCACCTTGGGGTGCAGTGACACATCACTTGGCATAGAGACCTGACACCAGGGCTGTGATCAGATGGAAGCATAATGCATGAAGAGAAAAGTGACACTGCATGATTGATTGTGCATCACTGAAACATATCATGCTGTTCACTAAATAACTGTGGCAGATGTAACACAGAGAAAAACTCAGTAACAGTTTTGTTTTACACACAAACGATGCTGCTCCGAAAGTCTAAATCTTTCACAGGCATCAGGCAGAACATTCAGAATGTCACCATTCTCATTCCAATGTTGCCTTATTTACTCACTATTGGATGTGAGCAGGCTATTAGAATAAACTAAATTCACTGTTCTATGCTACTTCTGTGCTAATGCGCCTCATCAACCAGCAAAAACTTAGCCTAGACATTTATATTTCATTATACAATTTTCCACTTGGATTAATAACGGGTGCATGAAAACAGGAGGCACTCTTGAAAATGAAAAGTCCAGACCCATAGAATAACTAATTTAAACACATTTAAACAGAAAAACATTTTCTTCTGGTAATAACATTATGCAGAAACATCATTCACACAAAGTAAACCAGAGAAATAATACTGCTGTTATAAGTACTGGGCTCATTACTATTCCTCCTTTCTTACTGTATTGGGTCAATAAGAGACACCATCACTTACACAATTATGTTGTTCTGCAGCGAGGGCAAAGCTAGGATGTCAGCTGTGCCAGCTGAGGCCAGCAGGGGAGCCAACTCAGGGAAGAGACTACCATCTTGTACCAGGTGGGTCTGGAACAGCACCGACACCATGGTGGACAGATACTTATCAGGTAACTGGCAAACAGAAGCAAAGACCAGCTCTGTGTCAGGAAGAATGCGATACTGTGCATTGTGTATTTTACCAAGAACAAACAGCTGCTTGGTGAAGGAGAGAGCATTCCAGGAAAAAACATGAAAAGACTACAAAATGTGGTTAGTACCAAGGTTTCACATGGATGTGTAATGGCGTGCTTATTTACCTGCAGTGTATCCTTGTTTCTACTATAGTACTGAAGGATCAGTCTGATGGTGGTGATGTGAGCTGCACTGAGCACCGACCTCAGGCTGCTCACTGGTATATTGAAGTACTCCTGGAAACAAACACAGAAGGGAATTAGTCATAATAACATAAACACAGATGATTAAACATGCATGTTTTAGCATTTAGGTTATGACATATCTTACCTTAATGACATAGAATTCATCAGAGGTCACATCTCTTGCTGTTTGCATCAAGCTGGTTAGTACTCGCTACAGAAGATAAACACACACACAGCACAAATACACACAACTGTGACACTATTTATAGAGACGGTAATGGAAACATATAATCTGAGTGTCTGTTTTGACACATTATTGTTATTGTCATATCAAGTGTGAGCAAGTAGAGATCACACCCACAGGGAGAGAGTCAGCATGTCGACATCAATGACAAGAGTGTAACTGTACACCACTACTTGTTTTTGTCTTCCCATCATATGTATCGACACAATGTTACTGTATAAATAAGCTGATATCTGTCTAGGATGTTTGCTGATTTATACAATAACATCAAACTTAAGTGATATTTTCAAAGCACAACTTTTAATTGTAATAGAATTTTTAGGTTGCAGGATTGCTACATTTACTTTAATAATCAATCTGAATATTTAATCCTCAGGTGAACGTAAGATACTTCCCAAACAACCACTCCACGATCAAACTACCTACCCCAAAGCACTGCAGCAAGACCTTCTTGTTGTTGAAGTTGTTTTCACTCTCAAGATAATGAGCTACGGATGTTAATACACCGAGTCTTATGTTCTCTGTGACGTGCAGCGAGGTGTTCTGGACTTCCTCCAGAGCCAAGAGGATCACCACAGTAGTGCTGACCACCTGCTCCAACACTGAAGCCGCAGGTGGTGTCAGCAGATCCTCCAACCTGGATTTCAGACTGTCTGCCCAGCAATGCATCATTATCTGCAGGGCCATATTCTGACTGGCCCCAGGCTGACAGACTGAGTCGAATTCAGCTGAGCAGGTCCAGTTCAACTGCTTTACCAAGTTTCTTGCCAGACAAAAATTAGGCTCAGCAGTGGTGCTATTGCCGGTTGTGGTAGACAGGTTCTGGAGGACTGTAGCATTGAAGCAGACTTTGGTGGTGAAGTTAAGTGTGTCCATCTCAGCACAAAGAGCTAGCTCAGTCATGTCCACAATGATGGGACTGGTCCACTCAGAGTATGTGCACACCTGAAGTACAAATGATGTGAACATAACATCAGAATACAAACTTTGCACTTTTGAGTAGTTTTAAAATAACATTTGTACTTGTTTTTTTAAACAGCTTACTCTTGTCCAAGTAGTGATTAATACTACTGTCTTTAGGTCTGTGTTTATATACTGCATAGGTAGGTAGGTAGGACTTTATTGATCCCACAATGGAGAAATTCCTGTGTTCCAGAAGCAATGAGTTCAATACTTGTATATGGGAACTCGTGTGTATGCAGACACATATAGTCCACTGTATTCATTCTGGTTTTCTTGTAAGTCATGTGACAATACCCAAGTTGCTGATGAGCTCATGTGAAACACACTGTTGCTCTTCAGTTTTTTCAGTGTCACCTTTCACACATGGAATAAATGAATTCTTTTTATACCTTAGGAGTCTCATATACTTATTTTGGTCAGTGTGTGGACAACAACACAAACAACACAGACCCATGCCATCCAGGTCAACACTCACCTGTGGTGACGCCGTTATCTCCTGTAGGTCTGTGCAGCCTGACAGCAACCATTGGTTCTGAGGGTTTTGCAATAGCATTTCAAACATAGACACATTGCAGCAGACATTCTTCTGGAAAGCAACTTTATCATTTTGCCAACAGAAGCCAACTACTGACTCGTCCACCTGCCACTCTCCCCATGTGCTGTAGTCACACCAATCTGCGATGCCAAAAACTGGGGTTTGCTCGGAGGTTGGCAAGGTGAGAGCGGTATCGCAGTGATTCTCAAGCCAGTCATTTGCCTTGTTAAGCAGTAGGCTATCTAGAAATGTCTTGTTAGCGCAAACCTCTTGAGTAAAACCACTCTGATCGAGTCGGATACACTGTAACAAAACACTGACAGTAATTTGCGTGATGTTATACCACTCTGAGTAATGACAAGAATCTAACTCTAGTGAATCCATGTTAAAGAGTGGTGGTAAAGGGTACACATTTGTGCAGTTAGGCATGAACTGGGCATTTTCAGGGTTAGAAAATAAAAGCATGAAGAATCCAGTGTGCTCACAAATGGCTCTGGTCAGTCTGGGACTGTCCAGCCTCATGCAGAAGTCCAGTAAGAGGTGGCCCACCTGGACTGATGGCTGGTCAATCCAGAGCTCATAGTTGCAGAAATGACTCACCATGTACGCATGGTCAGCAGAGGAGTTGGCACAGTACACATACAGCCAGCTGTTCATCTTGTCTGTGAGCAGCTTCCTCATCAACATAGCATTGTTACACACCTGCTTCACAAACGTCTCTCGTTCGTTATCACTGCACACTGTCACAAGGACAGCGTCCACTGCCTTGTTTTCTAACCAGCTGCTGTAGTTACAGGCCAGCTGTTTGAGGTTCGAGGCTTCTCTGGCTACTCGATGAGGTGCAGAACTGAGGAGGGGAAGAGTCTTAGATAGAGGGGTGACGGAAGGGGAAGGCTGCGTGTCCCCAGGGCTGCAGTCAGATGACCTGCTGAGGAGTGGGGACATCAGTGCTTGAATAACGTAACACACATTGCTCCACACATTCTCTATCTGATTGGGGCTGAGGGAGCTTAGTGCTTGGCAAATGATATGCAGGGATGTAGAGGACCCCACGCTAGAACCCATGAGGATGTCAGCACATAGTGTGTCATTGAGCCTTGCCAGATTGTGGCGGTCACACTGTAGAAGGATGTCACGGTTGTCAGTATCACTTTTTGCCTCTTTGATGCTGGGTTGGAAGGGGACACTAGGATTCTGGCACTCTGGCCCTGGATATGTGCACAGAGGCTGTTCTGGAGGCAGGAAGATATCCAGGAGGATGTCAATGATGGAGTTAGTGAGGGACCAGCTCACATTGTGGTTTATTCCCCTAAAGAAAAACACATTTAATAATTATTAAATAACCTTTATTGGTTGATTACAATGCCTCTTTTTGTCGTTACAATAAACTTTGTTTTACTTAAGAAAACACGTGAAAAGATGTTGGTAAAAGAGGCCCATTGTCTTTTACTTCCAGAACCAGGAGAGCCAGAAATAGCTACAGGAATATCTACAATGTAGCTTTAATATGGAAAATTTGGTTTATGTGCATTTCAAGAATGACTTACCACATAATGAGCTGCTTGAGATCTCCTGCAAATCAAAACATTAAAACAGTTTGACATAAAGAATTTGTAATAAACTTTACATTAAACGGGACAGCTTAGAAAATAATACATTTACTCAATAATAAAAAAAAACAATTGTTTACCTTGCTCACAGGTCTCTTTTCCATCTAAAGATGGTATTCTAATCCCAAACTGTAAAGCTATTTTGATGTAGTCCATTGGTAGTTGGAGTAACATTGCCATAAACGTTGTGGCATATCTCACAGCGGCATCCACAAGGCTGCTCACAGCACTCATCAGATTCCCAGAAAGAGGGATATTTGACAGGATATTTAAAAATGTTTGCTGAAAACTATGCAACGTGGTCACAGTTGATTGCCCCATCCTCAGATAGTAATTGAAGAAGCTGTTTGAATCTGCATTACTGTTCAGAGAAGGGCATGCCTGGGATCTTTGAGACGACACAAACCCTAGCAGTGGCTTTCCTAACTCCAGAAACACCACCTTTGTTAGCTCTGCCTCCAGTCCACAATCCTGCCTCCCAGACAAAAGACAAACTAGAGTTATGGGAAGGGACTCTATGAATCCCTCTCTTAGTAGTGGTTGGAAGAGAGCTAACAGGTTACTCAATACACCATAATATGCATTAAAGTTAAAACTCTCTCTCCTGGAAGAGGTGTTGAAACTCTGTGTATCTTCATTTTCACTGGACAAAGAGTGGATATGACTGATAATTTTATGGAGGTCTTCCTCTAGTTGGGCGGTCTCATTAGAAGTCTGCATTAATTTGGGCTGTGTATATACTTGCTTGACATCACATAAGATCCCTGTAGATGTTGAGAAAACAAAAAACAGAAAATATTTATTTCTTTTGATCCACAAATACAACTGTGGGAATTGCTGTTATGAAATCAGAAAAGTCACAATACATAAGGATTGGGTTAGATTTTAAACTGTCCTTAATCAGGCTGGACTATATACAGTAGAACTGTTTAACCAGGTAAGTCCTGCTGAGGTTTGAAAGCCCAACACAAAGGAATAAAACCGTCCTTTTGGCAGGCTTGGTAAGAAAACTAAACTAACTATTCCCATGAGAATAAATAGAAACATTTTACTAACAAATATTAAGTTAGGTTTACTTATACTTTGGGCTTTGTGTGTAGGGTTCCTAAGTCTTACAACAACTTATTTTCCATAATCAGTAAAGCTTTGATAAACTGCTTTTGTTTGATAACGCATGTTAGGTAGTTTTTAAGTAAGAATACAGACCAAAAATATTTAACTCAAATTATGTACTTACCAAACAGGATGCACACCATGTGCGCAGCTGGCATCGACCACATTTTAAGACTCCTCAATCAGATGCAAGCAGGCAGCTGCTCCGCTCCTGATAATACTCCACTTTGTTTTATCCTGTTGGTGGAGACCTATTCACCTGAGGCAGAAAAACCGATTTAGGCTTCATACTCTGTTAACTGTACAGAGTCAGTCTTCAAAGAAAAAAACCTGTACAATACAGTCATTCCTCCCCCAAACTTTATCTTTGCCCATCAGGCCAATGTGGTGCTCCCTCTAATAAGCTAGTCTCCTCAGAAGCTGCAGGCTCCACCTGCAACTCAACACCTGGTCAGCAAAGGGAAGTAGTAGTGTAGGTGGGAAACGAGGGCTGTGAAATGCTGAGCGTATTTCACTCACAAGTGAAATGCTGAATTATTAAGATAGGGTATCGATTCACTTCTCCGTCCGAAACCCGAGTCCCGCCTGAGGAACCACACTGACTGCTGGAGGACATACGTGACATATGCTGCAAATACAGCAGCCAACTTCTGACTGCCATACATAATGTGATATTGCCTAACATGCAAGAGCGTTACATTAGTATGGAGCTCCTGAAGTCCCAAAGGGGGATTTTTTTTTTTTTTTATCTTGTGGGAACAAGGTAACCTGTATGCATAAGATACATCTTTTATGCACGTAAAAAAAAAAAAAAAACCCTTTTGGTGCTTCAGGGACACCACAGAAAGTTACTTAAATCTTTATTTATTGAAAAGGTTAAGCAACAGGAGTTAAGACTACAGGCTGCTCCATCATCAGCACCTGGAGAAGGGATCACAATGAAACATTATGTCCACTAGTGTTACTAGGCAATTGTCCCTGGTAGACGAGTGGTTAAGGGGCAGCGCTCTCGCCACTGTGGCCCTGGTTCGAGTCAGGGTTGTGCCAGGAAGGGCATCCGGAGTAAAACACGTGCCAACTGTCAACATGCGAGTCGTCAGTGTGACGATTCGCTGTGAGGACCTCTAAACGGGAAAAGCTGAAAGTGACTTTCCAGTGGTACTAGGCAACTAAAAATTTTTTTAAAAAGCATTCAATAAAGTGAGGGTGCTCCTATTGATTTAAGATGGCAAATAAATACTAAGCTACACCTCGCTCTTCACTCAAAAGCAAAGTGCCATAAATTCATCCCACATCTTCAGCATAACCTAATAAAGTGGAGAGAAATAAAAACAAAGGGCATGCAAGAAGTTTTTAACTTTAAAACTTTGTTTCAGGAATTCAATGTAACTGTATTTACACTTTACAACAGCATTCTGCCTGATGGCTAACAAAGATGTCTTCAAACATTTTTAAATACATCTGCACAAATAGCAAGTCTTGCAAGTAAAATGGCTTAACGGACATGGGGGGGGGGGGGGTTAACACAATAGGTCTTTTCTGCAGAAAAAAAAAGTGCCATAATTAAAATTTAATTCAGGAGTTTCCCACAAAGCAAGCTGTATTTTCTACATGCTAGGTTTAAGAGTTCAGTGACTAAACTAAACGTACAGATATTTGAAAGAAAAGAAACACTCCCGTCTGATGTAAAGTTAAATCTTCATTGATACATTTAAAAAGCAGATGACATGCCTTTTGAAATCAAAAATACAAAGATTTTTCCCTACTTTAAGTTTTTTTTTTTTTTTTTTACATGAAGCTGCATGTATTGTACAACAGTGTACAATAAACTGGTAATGAACAAAAAAAAATTGAGCTAGATGGAGACAAATGCCTCCCACCAATCCTTCAGAAACAAGCCATGACTGATGACTATGATCACACAGCCCACAGAGAAGACAAGGGCACCTGGGCTACACTGCACACTCCAGGTGAGACTTGCATACTAAAAGATGGCAGCCAGGATGGTGAGAGATCATGGGGATAGGGAGGGGGGCTACCATGGGTGGGACCTCAAGAGAGGTTTCCTTCCTCTACCATCTGCATTGTTCTTCCTCCTATTCAACATATGAACAACAAATGCGAGGTGCTGTCCCTCCTCATCTGTTCTAACTGATGGAGAGAATGCAACAAGGAAATCAGAGAGACACTTGAGACTTCACCCCATGTACAATTTACATTCATAGTCTGGACGTGTGAGTAAACACTGCTGTGCCCTGTAAGAACTTCACTTGAAAACTAACTTTAATTTCTGAAGAGCTACTAACTTCTGATTAAAAAAGGCGAAGGCAGGTGCCAGAGAGCAGGTGGAAACCAAAACCGGTGTGTCAAGTGAGTGGCAGGGACTGTTCGGGCAGGGCACAGCAGGATTCACCTGGCAAACTTATGCCAGGGTTTGTACAAGTGTGTGGAATCACGGGACACAACATACTGCACACTGGTAAAACGGGGGAAGAGTCAGTGTCTCCAGGACTTGACATCTGACGAGCTTTGAGGTCTGATTGTCTCTTTCCATCTAAACATTTTGGGGGGTGAGTGAAAGAATTGGGGGGCCTGGGAAATGGGGAATCGTATGGCACCGTAAAGGCAACCCAGACACATCGACTCACAACTGCTTTAACACAAAATGCACTTTGATTCAAACTAAAAGATCAGCGATGCACGTCAAATTGTCAACAGATATTCAAGTCAACAGAAGGCAGACTTGTATGACTCACAGGCATCTGACCTTTGCTTTACCTTCCAGGTTCAGGCCTGTTAAGGATGCAGACACAACATATGCATTTTTGCCTACCGTTTGTCTCACTATTAAATACAATACAGGAGTAAAACGTCAGTTTGGCTTGAGTGTCTAAGCCAAGTTGGGCAGAAACACATTTACTATGATTCTTAAAAATAATTCTTTAAACTGTGCTAAACATAAGAAAAGAACCAAAAGCCTACAAGTAGAGAGTAAAAAGTATTAAAATGACAAAGGGGAAGTCAGTGAAACTGACTATTAAAACCAGGATGCTGCTGGTGCCAGATACGGCTGGTTCCTGACACACTGACAGAGATGTGCTACATTAGCCATAATGCTACCGATATAGCCATCAAATTGCACGTTAGAACTAAAAGAAACTGCTCTGATGAAGTCAGAATGCTTGATTAGGACTAAAGACAATACTGACACATAACACTTTTGAAATGAATACCCTCAAACCTTTACAATATGCCAAATTTACAGGTAACAGATTCATAATCCGAACATTAAGGAGCCATGTTGTGTCCCACAGTGAAGCCAACGAATGCACCGATTTAAATCTTTGTCAGAATGAGACCACACTAGACAAAGTCCTGAATTCTTTTTCATCTGACTATGCAGTGGACTCATTAATATGCACCCATATTCTCCTAACAGGAAAAATGTGTACAATAAAACTTAAATGACTCCTTTTAAAATACATCTTACAAACAAAAGTAAAACATTTTTGAAATGTTACTTTAAAAAAAATAAACCACCAGAAAGTAAAACTGCAACCAACAATAGAAACTTGACTCAGCTACAGAGGAATGCATATAATTTTAAAGGCTACAGATTGTAGGTTTGAGTGTGTGTGTGTGTGTGTGTGTGTGTGTGTG